TATATAGTGAGTTCAAAGCCATCCTGAACTGCATAGTGAGATCTTGTCTTAAAAAAAAAAAAACAAAACAAGGCAAACAAATAAGGTATCATTTTCATGTTTATGCGTATACTTCTAAAATGTAGACGGTATCATGCCATACATACTTACACCTTTCTTTTCCCCTTGCATAATGTCTGAGTGATTATATACTTATGTGACAACTGCATCGTTCTTTTTTTTTCTTTCTCTCTTTTTGGGTGTTCTGAGGATTAAAGCCAGGGCTTTGTGCTTGCTAGCCATGTCCCCAGCCCCGAATCATTAGAAACAGCTCTGCAGACTTGCTTCATAGTGAAGTCATTTGAAATGAGAACAGCATAAGTCAAGAAGGTTGTAACTGTTAATGTCACTGTCCAACATCGTTGTTAAAGATTTTTAGTTATCATCATTTAGCTAATGTAACATATAACTGATGGAAACGCTAAGCCAAGAAAGTCCTGCAGGTGCAACCAACTGCAGTAAGTTAACGAACATTGACTGCAGTAAGTGTTTAAAAACCATTTTATCAAATTCTCAGGGTCAGAGTTACCCAGTTTTTTGCTTGAAGAATGATGTTTTATTTTACAAATCTGTACAATTATTGTCAATTGAAAAGAAGAAACTAAATCTTAAGAAAATGACACTCTAGGTGGGCATGGTGGTGCATATGTGTAGTATCAGCCCTCTGTGGGGCTGAGGCAGGACAATTGTAAGTTCAAGAGCAGTTTTAGTCATTTGGCAAGATGCTGCCTCTAAATAAAAATGTGGGCTGGGGATGTAGCGCAGTGCCCTGGTTTCAATCCCTAGTACTGTTTTGTTTTGCTGTGTTTTTTTTAAAGTCCAATTTTAGCATGTTGCAAGAGGTATGATAACATTAGGAATCTCTGTTTAGCCCCATCGGCCTCAACAGTTATGTGGATGATAGTTCATGTAGCTAAATAAAACATTCCTCTCTGAAATTGGCAATGTTGTAAAATGGTGAGAAAGTTGTCATAAGCACTGTTAAGATCCGACAGTCTCAGAGTCCGTGGCTAAAAGCCTGTAGAATGGCGTGTATGTGGAGAAACACTAGTCATTCTAAGCATTTTGAAGCAAAAAAATGGGATAATAAGAAATGGTAACATAAAGGCAAAGACTTTCTTACTTTTTATATAATTTGCCTTTTATAGTCTTTTGTAGGCTAATTCAATTTATTTTTGTTAAAATATTCAAGATCCACTCCTGATTTTACAAGTTATTATATACTCTCTCTTGAAGTATAATCATGTAAGGTGTTTGGTGGATGTCCCATTTCTTTGATTATCTAGTTTTTAAATGAGCTCATGTTATAAAGCTTTATCACCCAAACAGATAAACACATTGGTTATTGAAATACGGTATCTAATTTGGAGAAGCAGTGTGAATTGTGTGTGTGAATAGGTATAAAATTAGGCCAATGGCAATGAACTCATTATTGTGTAAATATATTGTAAATTTGCTAAAGTGAAATTTACCAAAAAGTCCTTTTTCTACTGCTCAGCCTAAAATTCTACTATATTAATAGTAATACTGTGTAATGAGTATTGTGTAATGTAACACTAAATTTATTTATGATTTTTGAAAACTTTAACTTGTGTTTTGTTTGAATTTCAGGTAATAAGCCTTTCCAATACTTTGTATTTTATTTAGTATGCCACTTTTTGGAAGTGGTCACTGTCAATATCTTGTTATGGTTTGATGGACTTGGAGATTTAAAACCGAGTAAAAGTGTAAGCAGCCTTTCTTATTTAGTTATGAGTTTTAAAGCTACTTTTGTTCCAAATAGGAAAAGTTGAAGGATTTACGGTGAAATGAATTACATTTTTAAAAATCTTAAAGAATTGACTTAGTGAAAACATCGTACTGGCTATTCCATTTATGGGAGTATGACATAAAATTCCATCAAACAATTTCCATTAAAGGTGCTGAGGTTTTAGAATCTATTAGATGTTCCTTGCAGGCTTTATTAAAAGATTTAGTGAATTCCTAAAAAATAGAAAATAATTTTTTTTTTTTTTACAAAACTGGGAATTGAACTCAGGCCCTTGGGCTTGCCAGGGAAGCACTTATTCCACTGAGCCATCTCCCTGGCCCCCCAAAATAAAAATCTTTAAATTTTTACCTTAAAATTCTGTACTATATGTTGGTTATTTAGTATCGATGGTTTAGAATTCTTACAGATTCTTTTACTGTATTAATATTTATTGTTCCAGTAATGTCATTTTTGAAAAGTACAAAGTATTCATTAGTAGCTGAATGTGATGGTGCATACCTATAATCCTAGCACTTGGGAGGCTGAGGCAGGAGGATCCTGTGAGTTCCAGGCCACCTTTGGGCTACACAGCAAAACTCTGTCTCAAAAATAAATAATGTTTGCTGGTGCCAGGATGTAGCTCAGTGTTAGGTAGGTGGCCTGTTTGGGACATGATGCTCTGGATTCATCCCCAGCACCAAAAAAAAAAAAAAAAAAAAAAATCCTTCAGAAATCTCATTTAGAAAATAGTAAGCATCAGGGGCTGGGGAGATAGCTCAGTAGATTAAGAGCTTGCCTGGCAAGCACAAGGGCCTGAGTTCAATCCCCAATTCTACAAAAATAAGATAGATAGATAGATAGACAGACAGAAAGAATAAAAATAATAAGCATTATAGAGCCTGGCGGTACAACTTGTAATTCCAGCTCTTGAGATGTGGAGGTGTGAGGATTGTTGTGAGTTGGAGTCCAGTCTGGACTATGTAGCTGACCCTTTCTCAAAAAAAAAAAAAAAAAATTTGAGCAGCATATTTGTCTGTTGATAAAGCTTCACTTCAGGCATCATTGTTTTTCTGTGTGATTACTGTAAGAATGCCTTGCTTGAGAGATGGCTTTGCTACAAAGTCTGAAATTTTCACATAAATGACTTTGAGAACCAGCTGGAGGCACATAAGAAAGTCAAATTAGGCTAGGCATGGTGGTGCATGCCTTTCATCCCAGCACTCTGGGAGGCTGGGGCCGGAGGATCACTGTGAGTTCAAGGCCAGCCTGGGCTACAGAATGAGCTCAAGGCCAGCGTGAGCTGCGTACTGAGACCCTGTCTCCAAAGGAAAAAGAAAAAAGTCCCGTTAATTCTTTCACAGACCTGCTTTGCTTTTGTGCAGGGACAGGTCACATTTTTCCTTTGACATAATCTGTAGACTTGCACTCATTTAGATTTTGGACTTTTCCAGAAAGCAAATTCAGCTTTAGAGAATAAAAATTTGACTTTGCAATCATCCAAAAAACAATTTAGGAGAAAAAGCCAAGAACATTTTGACCAATTTAAAATGTCATTTTTTACAGCATTTGAGAATGACAGCTTGGAACATTAGAATATAAGATTTTGATATAATTAGCTAATTACTTTATAATCATAACATCTTTTATTTGTTACACTCCCATGTGCTAGATCTTATTATAAATAGGCCCTTTGAAAGGATGAATTAGAGGGCTAATGAGGTAGCTCAGTGGCATAAGTGCCTGTTTGGAAAGCACAAGGTCCTGAGTTCAATCCCTGGTACTGAAAAATAATAAAAAAAACTTCTGATTTATGAAAGGATGAATTAAAAGTCAACTTTTTTTTTTTTTTTTTTTTTTTGTATCTGGGATTGAACTCAGGACCCTGTGCTTTCCAGGCAAGTACTTACTCTACTGAGCTATCTCCCTGGCCCAAGTCAACATTTTTCTGAATTCTTTTTGTGATCTGATTTATAGTGCAGTATGTGAAAGGGCTTACAGTTTTGCCATGTATCTGAATTTACCGTTGACTACTAGGTAATGATTATCTTTTTTTCTGTGAAAATTGGATACATGGCTGGGCATGTGATACGTGCCTATAACCTTTACACTAAGGGAGGCAGACAGTTGGGTCACAAGTTTGAGTCTTACCTGGGTAGCTTATTTTGACTCTTGTCTCAAAGTAAAAATAGAAAGGGCTGGGCATGTAGCTCAGTAGTAGAGGACCCTTGGATTCAACCCCTAGTACCACAAAGATAAACAAAAGCGTATGTAGGTAGTACATATACAAATAAAAACCTCAATTTCGTCTAAACTGGTTGTGTTTCGTCTAAACAAAAGAATATTTGTTTAGTCCGGGCATGGTGGCACACGCCTGTAATCCCAGCACTAGGGAGGCAGAAATCAGGAGGATCACTACGAGTCTGAGCTGCGTAGTGAGACCCTGCATATGTGCGCATGCACATGCGCGCGCGAGCACACACACACACACACACACACACCCCTTTAAAAATATGTTTAGGTTGCACTTATTTGCATTGACTGATTTATTGATGTATTTCTTTAATATCAGTGTTCACACAATTGAGGTGTCTAAAGGTTTTGTTTTACATTCTTCTGTTTTTGAAATCAGTGGTCTTCCATTGTAGACCCTTTCAAAAGTCTGCAGTCACTGTTCCATTTCCCTTGCCTGGATAGCATTCATCTTTAATGATTCATGAAGTTCCTTAAAATCAATCCACATAGTAATTGGTTGAGAGCATGAATTTGGGTTAAAATTTTTTACCCATTCTTGTTACTTACTAATTATGTGACCTTTGGAGGAGTACTTACCCTTTCAGCCTAGTTTTTCTCATCTAGGGAAAATGTGAAATTTATGAATAGTGATAAATGTTTTTTAAAAATTCATGCTCCATAGCATATATCAAACATTTAACAATATTTTTGTCTTCATATACTGGTAATGTGAGACTCAGTTAATAAAATTAAAGAACTTCCCAAGCAGTCACCCTAAACATAACTTGAAATTATTTTAGGATCAATGTCATTTACTTCGGTAAAAGAGTATTCTTTTGAGTGCCAGGAAGGGCATTTGAAGAAGTGGGAAAGATTTGAGTGTTGTATATAGCCAATTGAATATAGATTTTTGAGGACATATTTTTGATAACTGTTAACATCATAATAAAAGGGGCTTTTAATTTATCTTCAATCACAGGCACAGGAACCTTAAAGATAGATTTTGTTGGAGAGCTGAATGACAAAATGAAAGGTTTCTATAGAAGTAAATACACCACCCCTTCTGGAGAGGTGCGCTACGCTGCCGTGACTCAGTTCGAGGTAGGTGCTGCTCTCCGATGCGGCGGCCGTTCGCACTGGGAGTGTGTGACAGAGCTCACCTGTATTTACTCTTTATTTTTTTTTATTTTTTTTTATTTATTTGAGAGAGAGAGAGAGAGAGAGAGAGAGAGGTGTGTGTGTGTGGCCAGCTCACCCACCAGGGGGCGGGGCTGGCTGGCATGTGGTGCTGGGGATTGAACCGCGGTCCACTGTGCTTTGCTAAGCTTGTTCTAAGTAGGTGCTTTAGACCACTGAGCCATCTCTCCAGCCCCTGTATTTACTCTTTAGGGTAATTACCTGAGCTTTGGTGCCTTTGTCATAGTAATGGATGTGATTGAGGGTTTTTATTTATTCTCTACAGCCATTGTCTCTAGAGAAAGGAGGGAACTGGGATGTGGGTAGGGAAATAATTATATGTGGGTGTATTCAGGTGACAAAATTGAATATACTTGAATTGCTTTTATAGTTGTATATGAAAATCGTCTTCTTGGTATTTGATGGTTGTGGCTTTTTTACTGCATTATTAGCTAGTTAGTAGCATTTCTTTGACATAGCCTTTATCTTAGTATAGTATCAGTCCCTTTAAAAATTCTTAGTTGTGGGCTGGTGAGATGGCTGGGTGGTCTAAAGCACCTACTTAGAACAAGCTTAGCAAAGCACAGGGACCGCAGTTCAATCCCCCAGCACCACATGCCAGCCAGCCCGCCCCCTGGTGGGTGAGCTGGCCACACACACACACACACACACACACACATAAATAAATAATAATAAAAAAAATTCTTAGTTGTCAAGTATTTATAAGTATGTAAGTTGTTTTGAATATGCTAATGGATCTTCATGTTTTAAATCTATTTTTGTAAATTTCAATATGAATAGTGAAACAACTGATGCTACTGTTCTTAAGTTTCTGCCCATATCCTTGGATTGTTTGTTTGTATAAACAGAAATTTTAGGTCTAATTTAGTACTACTTTATTTTGTTGATGCATCTTTTCTTTTTTCTTTTTTTTTTTTTTTTTTTTTTTGCAGAACCGGGGATTGAACTCAGGCCCTTGTGCTTGCCAGGCAATCACTTACTCCACTGAGCCATCTCCCCGGCCCCCATCTTTTCTTTCAGTGATATTCTGTTAACTGGGTGTGGGGACATGCTCTAATAGTCACAGCTATGCAGGAGACTCAGGCAGCATTGTTTTAGCCTAAGAAGCTGCAGGCTAGCCTGGGCAGTGTAACAAGCCCATCTCATCCTCTGTGAGATTTTCATTGGCATTTGTTTGGTTGGTACTGGGGATTAAACCCAGGGTCTTTGCATTAAGCAGCATCCCTGGCCCTTTTTTAGTTTTTTAACTTTGAGACAGGGTCTCACTGAGTGCCTTTGTTGGGCTCGGAATTGTGATTTTCCTACCTCAGCCTCCCAGAAGGCTGGGATTATGGGTGTACGCCACCATGCTGGACTGTTACTTTTTGTTTTAAAAATAACATTTGCCACAACAGTTAGGCTTCATTTTCTGTTTGAATGATTCCACTATCTGTCTCTAACCCTTTTGAACACTTTGTTGGTTAGAGAGAGAGAGAGAGAGAGAGAGAGAGAGAGA